AGAGATTCCAAGTCTATTTCAATAACGACATTTTATCATCGTACTCTCATTGGTGTTTGGCCAGATCAGATTGCGCAAAAGAATCTGTTGTCAAATAAAGCATGCAGCGGTTTCTCGCTTTGAATTCGAAAATGGAGTATTAGTGGTACATATTTCTTACCTGAGTAAGTTCCAAGACCTAACTTGTATTTGCTTCGTTCACTGGTCACATCAAAGAAATCGTACTCGGAATACGCGCTCTTTCCTTTAGTGTTTTCAATCTCAACACGAAGACGGTTTCGTGTTTGATGGGTCAATCGATGGATCTTGTCGAGACCAAGCCAGAACTCGCCTTTGAGGTCCCCGAACCCTTTCTTATAGTCGGCCCATCCTCTGTAAAAGTCCACCGAACCGTCTTCTTCTCTGAAAGACTGTCCATCCTCCTCCTCCAGTCTTCTCGTCACAGTAAACCTGGAAAATGCATTGTAAAATTTACAATATAAATTAATGCGGTGAGCTAGTCTACATTTCTTAGGTAGCACAAACAGCGAACACAAAAAGGTGCATGAATTGGCGACAGCAGATAAGCTAACAAGGCAAGGAAAAAGAGCGAGGCAAGGATCATTCCCGTCAACTCCCCCCTATTTTATAGAATATGCCAGCGCTGATCAGGGTGTTATGCTTGTTTTATCAGTACATGTTTATCATCATTATCAGTCGACATTTACGATGATTGTTGAATACTAGATATTACCTTGAACTCTCCTTTGCCATCAGGATTGACTTTATACACGTCGCTCTTTTTGCCACCACATTTCGTGAGAGAACTTCTTTGCAGTTTTTAGGAGCTATAAAAAATGTCAGTATCTTTCCGCGTCCGATCGATCCAAACTCTAACGTATATTGATTTCATGAATTCATCATCTCTTTAATAATCCAGAATTTTTATGTGATAAAAAATTCGACCAATAATCCAACCTAATACAATATGTTGCATCCATAAACTCTCCAATAAGAATTATGATATTCAAAATTGTAGCTTTTTGATTTGGTTCATTATCGAACGATCATTGAGAACGTGGAAATTGCGGAAACTAATCACAAAATAGTACAAATTTGTGCCAATGATTGCTTTTGTTTATAAAAACAGACACGACTTCAATTTAAACAGAGACAAAAGCTACTTATGCATTCAGTACTATTAAGGCCCGTTTACACCTGCAATTTTTGAAGCGCAATATTTGTCGCGCGACAATCGCCACTTTGCTTTCTCGCACCTCAAATCGTACGTGTAAACAGCCCTGCGATTGTCGCGGCGATCAAAAATCGCCGCGAGTTGCGTCGCGGCGATCAAAAATCGCCGCGAGTTGCAGCTAAATTTCAAGCATGTCCGAAACTAAGGCGATTGTCGCGCGATAATCGCGCTGCAAAAATTGCAAGTGTAAACGGTGCTTTAGTAAGCCTTTTTAGGATATCCATGTGCAAAATTAAACTGAATTGATACAGATGGTTATTGGCATATATAAGCTTTCAGCTCGTGCTTCTTGACATTTTCTCGTGTGTTTCAAATACCAAGCGTGCGTTTATCAGAGTATAAACCACCTGAGCCTTATTTATTTGTTAAATAAACAATCATCCTAGTGTATATATGTTGTAGACCGGGGTATACTTGAACATGGGCCCACAATCATCAAACACTTGAACCAAGATCGGTTGATAATAAATATGCTATATAATGATCCACTTCAAAGTTTGTTTACTCTGAAGCAATTTTCAGACTTCTCGAGAGATGTAGGACATTAACACTTGAAAATAGGTCGAGCACAAGCGTTTCTGCTTGGAACAGTCAAATGGCAATGCTGTACTACTATAAATACACTAAAGAGGACTATTTACTTAATTCAAAGACCTAACTATTGTTGTTTAGAAAAGTGTTCATACTTAGATCAGTTTTGTTATAATGATTGACTTATATTTTTTTATTATAACTTAACGGCCGACAACAGAGCAAATACCTAAAATTCTTGTTGACAACCGATGACACTTCGACCTCCATCTAGAACTGATCCACGAACTACGACACCGTAATAACTCTTTTCTCTCTCTTTTTTTTTATAAAGAAACATTCAGAGAAAATCCAGTCCTCCTGGATGTTAAATATAAATTTTAATTCTAAAGAGAAAAGAAAAACAAAAACAAAAACAAAAAACAAACGAGAATTTCCCTTCAAAACCGCCAAGGATGCATTATTCAATTTTCCGAGATTGACGTTACCTCTAGAAGATTCTCCTCAAAGTATATTTAGAACACTCAGGGCAAATCACGATAAAACGCGAAAAAATCATTACTAGTAAGATAGGCTTAACTTCCTGTTTACAAAAATTAATATCCAACACAATAGAATGAAAAACTGAATAAAAATTTTTCTAAAAGTGGCATTGTAGTCGTGAAAAGTTTGGATATTAGTTATGTCTTAGCTTTCAAATTGTGAATATATTAGTGAGGAATAAGATATAATCAAGGTCATGAGAAGCATATAAATTGAATGTGAATGTCACTCGTGCCATCTTAAAGAAATTTCATTTTCTGCTTCCGCCTAAATCCACCGGAAAAGTTGAATAGTTTACAGAGTATGTAAATACCATGTAAATATACTGTAAATTTACTGTAAATCCAATTTACATACATTGCGCACCTTTACATACTTTGTAAATTTCGTGTATATTCTGTAAATATCTCGTAAATATTCTGTATATTTTTGGCAAACCAATTTGAAAACTCTGTAAATGAATATCAAACTCTGTTAAAATCCTGTATTTTTTCGCTATAGGATTCTGTAACTATACTGTCAAAACCCTGTACTTACTCCACCACGAACCTGTAATTATACTGTAAAAACCCTGTAGCTCCTCCACCACGACCCTGTAACCACTCTACCTCGACCCTGTAACTCCTCCACCACGACTCTGTAACTACACACTCGAAAAAAATATACAACTGTCTATAATCCATGGACTGTATTTGATAGTCCGGGGCAGGTGTTTTGTTTTAATTATATAATACATAATAATTAGTAAAAAACTGAAAAAAGGTTTGGCGATTACACTTCCATTTTATTTTCTATCATATTTTTTCAATGATAAAACTATCATTCTGTGAAAACTGTCATTTCAATTTTAAAGGTTTTTCACTATAAATTAAATTGAAATATTTTTCAAAGTATAGTCTCATTGTTAGACATGGGNGGCAGCCTACTCCACTGGGTCGAGTTTTGCTGTGCAAATTCCTCCCGTCGGAGGGTTATATTTACAACATAAGCTTGTCAGCTTTGCGCTGATTGGCTAGTCACATTTTCTCAAATCACCCAGATTCAATAGATTGAACTAATGCTGTTTTACCTATCTATATTTATGTGCTTTGCGGTTATTACCATACATGATTACGTCATCGGCTCATTCTTTTACGGTCTCATCTTCATCTCAGCCCTTGCAAGGGAATGATATCCAGTTTCCAGGCGCCAGTGGTACCAGACCACGTTAATACCTGAACTGGTACCGTTGTATTTGTACTGACCATTAAGGTTGGAATGATGGCAGCAGTTATACCACCAGGCACCCTTGCAACCCACTGCACAGCTGCCACCGCACTTGTCATTGTCACGATCTTTGGTAGTGAAGGTCATATAACGATGGTAGGACAGGGAATCACCTGCAGTACCTGAAATGCAGGGAACACAGCTTCTTACCAATATTTCGGTGTTTTTATCATTACTAGTATAGTTTAACGTTATTCATATATTGTATGAATTTTATCATACTGCGCAGATACTGAGATACTGCGCATTTCTCTGCGCATTTTCTTCAAACACCTAGCCGCAATAGTAGATTGCGGCTAGGTGCAATTTTCAAATTTACAAATCTTCGCGAAAAAGTATCTTTTGTCAAAAAAAAAAAAAAAATCAAAATAGAGTATTATAGTATTATAGTATTATTGGTGGCAAAAATAATTTACCTGAGTAAGTTCCAATACTTAAATTGTACTTGCTTTGTTCATTGGTCACATCAAAGAAGTCGTACTCGGCATATGTGCTATTTCCTTTAGTGTCTTCAATCTCAACACGAAGACGGTTTCGTTTTGCTTGTGTCAGTCGGTGGATCTTATCGAGGCCAAGCCAGAACTCGCCATTAAGATCTCCAAAACCATTCTTATAGTCGACCCATCCTCGGTAAAAGTCCACCGAACCGTCTTTTCTTCTCTGGAAGACTGTCCATCCTCCACCTGCAGTCTTCTGGTCACAGTAAACCTGGGAAAAGCCGGTGTCTTAGATCAACGTTTTTGTGAAAACAAGGCAAGAATAATAATTAAAATTACTTGGGACCTGTTTTTCATGATTTTACAGATCATCGATTTACTTTCGGTACCTTGAAACCTTCGCCATCGTCGGGATACACATCGTACAGTCCACTTTGCTTATAGCCATTTTGAAGTACTTCGGCGCAGTTTTCTGCTTAAATAAGATTCAAACCGATTAATGATATAGGGCACATCGAACAGAATGGGTATTGTTCTCTGGACATTTAGTTAATATTTACTTACTTACTTACTTATTCAAATTTGGCATAATTTTGATAAATTAGTGGCCAAGTGGTTCTGATTGGCTATCATTATGGACTCTCATGGGAATATTGAATCCCGATGACGCTTACAAGTAGCACTAATTAACGTTATAATATAGCCACATATTAATCCCAAATAGGTAAAAGCTGGATTTTTCGTTAATATAGGAATCCTGTCCAATTAAGTAATTAATTGGACAGGTTTTCAACTGGGTTTTTGTTAAAAGCTGTGGTTGGCTTTTACCTATTTGGGATCAATATGTGGCTATATAATTAATAGGTAATAAGACTCCATGCTGTCCAATTAAGAAATAATTAGACTCRAAAAATTCCTCTGACTGACAAATTGGACTCGGCCACGACCTCGTCCAATTTTTGGCAGTCCTCGGAATTTTCCTCGTCCAATTATTTCTTAATTGGACAGCATGGAGTCCTATTACATATAAAAATATGTAGATAAAATATGTAGTGACTTTAGTATAAAATTTCCTGAAATTTTTGGTGTGATCCTTAAAAATTTTTATGTAATTTTTTTGAGTAGAATATCCTGTGAAACTAGTCTTTGTAAGTCTAGGTTTCATTTCTTTTTCTTGGAATCAGGAGCTCTGTTGCTGGGTTTAAACTTGTTCTTGATCGTAATTGGCTGCTAACACAACACGTGACAGCACTATCAAGAACAGAATGAGCAATTCCCAGAAACATAAAAAAGCTGCTGTCTCAAGAAAGGCTGTCAAAGAGATTTGCCATTCATTTACACTTAGTCATTTGGTAATTTAGTAATGCTCACGTTACTCATGGGATCATAGTTTGTAGAGGGAAATGGTTAGGAAGCCTTTTGTTGTAGGTTTTTGTGCACTTTTTTCCAAGCGTGACCGTGCACAATCTTTTGTTTAACTATTGTTTTAGCCATCCTGGTCACATCTGAATGAACATAGCGAAAATTAATCTTTTGGCAATTTCTTCAAAATGCACAAACCTTTTTGACCAATATTGAAATATTTCATTTCATAATCTCATAGAGAGTCTTTATGTTCACTCATTTTGCAATTTCCATCGTCCGTAAGAAAAAAGTTATGCACGGTCTTGACTGATTCAACCTCAAAATACATACAAAACATGTACAAAAGAAGTACAACAAAAGGTTTCCAAACCATTCCCCTCTATTAACTATGATGGGATCGATCTCGTTATTCATTGATCTTTGAATATGAGCAAAATATCAAGTATACTAACGTGAACATTTGCTTGGATTGCATTTTCTTGTTTC